GGTGAACAAAGGCCTCCTGTAGCGAATCGATGCATTTTTGTAAGAAAAATATCCATATTCAATATGTAATAATCATATTGATTGCTACATTATTATAAAATAATGTAGCTTGCGCCAACAGTTGTACACGGAAGCAGCTCTGTGCTGATGATGTATGAGTTCAACGTTGCGCATGCGCCGGTGAGTCTCATGAAAACCAACGTTTGTTAACAGGAGCAAAGGAAGCAAAGGAAAACCAGTCTCCTCTTGTCTTATATCAAAATTAGTGGTCGACCGATATTGTTTTTTTGACAGCCGATGCTGATATCTTGGAAAAAAAGTGCATGTGATATTAACAGACGAACTACGCTCATATTTATAATTCCAAACAATCAGTAAGCGACAGGTGCTAGGAAACGCTGTTTTGTACTCATTTATTGACGAGTCGGCTGCGGTGTGGCCAACTGAATGCGCTGCTTCTCTGCCGCTCTCTGCACAGAACAGACGCCGAGAGAGGTGACACTTCTCCGAGAAAGTCAGACCTCGCGTTCGTGAGACAGCACTGGCGAAATCTTCCAACTGAACCATTGCTAAGGTTTACCCAAAAAAGTTGCTAGGTTTGTCAGTATGAATATTCTATGGAAAAAAGCCGCTAAAAGGGTCTGAAATCTAGTGCTAAAGTTGCACTCGTGTGTGTGAGACACGGGAGCTGATGGCAGGGGGCAGTGGATATTTGTGGCAGTCAGTGTGGATATTGTGGATGAGTTCTTCTGTGTCATCACGTTCTATTAGTTCTACAGCTTCAGTTTCGGAACTTTTACGCTTAGTAACACATACAGCTGTTCCCTCACCACAGTGCAACAGTGAAAAGGGACCCCTTTCAAACAGTGTTGCGTTCCGAACGTTGGTTAAGCGACATATTGCGTATTGCGGTATTTAAAAAATTCATATCATAACAAAAATAAACACTGGTATTAGGTATGAACCGGTATACCGCCCAGCACTAGTAAAGAAGAAGAAAAACGTCGCCTACAAGCACATGGAAGATGTCGACGATATATGAATATGATTGTGTGAGATTTAAATGAGAGCTTGCAGCTCTGAAAGCACTAGCGCTGCGCATGATCACGCACGCACATAAAGTTACGGTCTGTCTGACAGCTTTTTCATTCGTTGTGTATCCGTCCATCGATTTTCCTTATTAACATTATTGGCTAATATTACTGGTTTAAATAATTGTTGTTTATGTTAAATGTTTAATGCTTGCATTCAGAGTATAGGTGTGTGTGCGCGAGTGCATGCATGTTTGTGTGTAACGTTATTGACTAATATTAGCCTACTGGTTTAAATAATTGTTGTTTATGTTAATGCTATTAAAAAATATTTTCGGCCTGCCAGTATGTCAGTGAATTTAAACTAATGCTTGCATTCAGAGTATAGGTGTGTGTGTGTACGCAAGTACATGCGTGTGTGTGTATTATTTGAAGGCCAAGTGCCACTAATGTTGTGTTTTTGTAATGTTAAATAAAGGAGTTAATGTTTAAGTATTATAGGGCTGTTGCGATTCGTCGATTTTATTAAGACTATAACATTTTGCTCGTGTCGACTAACTGGCAAAATACTGGAAGTGGCGCATTTCACGGACGAGAATCCATAAAACCTTAACTTCAGAAAAGTTTGAACTGATCTCTGAACTTTATTAATTAACTATTCATTTCTATGGCCAACTTTCTTTTATATAAATAAAATCTATTGCCTTGACAAAAAAATAATGCATAAATAAAGCAACCAAGTCACTGAACAACATTACTTACATAATCAAAATACCAATCAAATAATACAAATTTGCAATAGATAAATAAAATGTTTATTCTGATACAGCATTACTTTGTGTGAATTTAACAGAAAGGCCAACTAGAAATGTTACAGGATTGTCTTGCTACTTCATCTGTGAATGTAAGAGTGGGATGTTTTTTTTAATGAAGAGAAGCATTTCAGCTTTCTCACACATAAGTCTGTTTCTCTTTTCATCAATCACATTTGATGCCGCTGAGAAGAGACGTTCGCTGTCAACGCTGGTACAGGGAGCTGACAGGTATTTGCGTGCAGCTTGGGCCAGGGCTGGAAAACGGGACATATTGCTTTTCCAAAACTGCAGTGGGCTCTCACTCCTGGAAATGGGTGGCTCACTTAGATATGCATTCACCTACAAAGAGCAATAAATAATGTATTACAATCCTTTCTTCAGTATAACACACATAAGCTTGTAAATTTAAACACTGTAAAAAACAACAACAAAAACCCTTGCTGCACAGTCAGATTGCATTCACAGCTAGCATTTGTTTCAGCTTAAATTATATTAAACAGACTTAAAAAAAAAAATTTTTTATAACTTATTATAAATGTTGAATACTGCTCGACTTATTTTGATGTTACAGTAATGTATATATGTCATATTGATCATATTTTTAGAGTGAGATTGCATTCACAGCTAGCATTTGTTTCAGCTTAAATTATATTAAACAGACTTTTTAAACAAATATTTATATAACTTATTATAAATGTTGAATACTGCTCAACTTATTTTGATGTTACAGTAATGTATATATGTCATATTGATCATATTTTTTAGAGTGAAGCTAAAACATTAAAGCATGTTTTGTACTCTATATTACAGATGTCAAATAAAATGTTATTTCTTATTTTGCTGTTTTTTTTGTTTGTTTTTTTGTATGAGGGGGAAAAAATAATTTACCTGCTGTCCTACTGGAGATGTTTGATGCGTCTGGTGTTCTGTGGCCATGTTTCTTCAAGAATTTCACCATACATGTCAAGCAGGGATGTTGCGCTTCTGTCGCTCTCGGTGCATATGAGGGGGAAAAAATAATTTACCTGCTGTCCTACTGGAGATGTTTGGTGCGTCTGGTGTTCTGTGGCCATGTTTTCTTCAAGAATTTCACCATACATGTCAAGCAGGGATGTTGCGCCTCCGTCGCTCTCGGTGCACGTCTTTTTTAAAGGGGGCTCTGTCTCATTTCTCTCTTTCTCCGTGCTATTTTCAAGTTCTGTCATCTTGTTCAGTTGTCTCAGCAGCATTTCTGTTGCTCGCTGTTTGGTGGCTTGATCAAAAAAGCGATCTTTGTACCTTGGGTCCAGGATCGTTGCCAAGAAGTACAAAGGCTCGGTGTATATGCCGTTAAACCGCTGCTTCACAGCCTCCAGCAGAGTAGCTTTTGTCGTCTTCACACCGCTATCTGTACTAAGACCTTTGTTCAGTAAACGTTTCAGAGCCTCAACAGAGAGAATCACGTCTGAAGCAGTTGCCGTGTGTGAACTTATTTCTCTCGTCAGTTCTTTGAAAGGCGCAAGCAGTGTTACTGCATTTTTAATAAGGCCCCATCTTTCTCCCTATGGCCATACAGTCGGAAATGCTGCGCTGGCTCAGAACTCCGTCATGCACAGCTAACTGGAGAGTACAGAGAGTCTCTCTCTTGCCCCACCCATGCACGATAATATCGGGTATCGTCGATCTCACAGGCTGACGATATGACGATTTGAAAAATGACCATATCGCCCAACACTACAAGGTATCTGTATCTATATATATATCGAAAATTTTTGAACGATACCCAGCCCTAATCTAGACTAGCATTTTGGCCAGGATAATTAGCTGTTGGTGTTGGATAGGGTTACAATTGTTTTTTGTTTTTTTTTGTTTAATTTATTGTTTCCTAAATGACCTCTCGCAAAGACCCTCCCCCTTCGTTACTGTTGCCATGTCCGATAATCCATGGCGCACTCATGTTCTCACACAGTGAAAAATACGTCACAGAGCAAAGCGGGCACTGACAACAGCTGACAGACAAGACAGAGCAGATTACTTTTGGTATGAAACAAAGTCTCAGCTTTCAAATTTTGTCATTTAAGAAATTCAAACAGTAAATACTGTTTAAACGGCACGTGTACCAGTCATCTCTTCCTCTTTACTAGTTATAGCACAAAATAAACACGTGAACATCAGAAGGTATCATGTTTCAGCCGCCGAAAGTTGTCAATATGGGTAGTTCCACAATTAGTTCTGGTACTATGAAAAGGTTCCCGCGGTGCGAAAGGCCCTATTGACTTCAGCACCCCTAAATAGGAACTGTCTTTTTACATATTTTCTTAGTGAGGATGTGGTCTTTAAATGTCTCTTTACCATCATATTTCATACACCTCTGAAGTTAGACGTCCAAGTTTTTTTGTTTTTTTTTGGTTTTCTGTTTGATCCAGCATAAAAAGTCTGGTTTTCAGTTATGTTGGCTAGGGATGAAACGATTATTCGACTTTATCAACAACGTCAACAATAACTTGTCAAAAAATGTTTTTGTTGTCAAATAGTCATTTGATTCCTAATCTTAGGACCTGCAATAATGTGGTTTGGCCAGTGTGGCACTGTAGCACAAGATTGTAAATCAGCCCTCCTGACTGCAGTCCAATAGAAGACACCAGTATAGTGTGGGAAAGATTTACACAACTATAAACAAAAAAAGCTGTCATGTGTAAAGGCCCTGATGCTCACGATACACTTATATACTCACTTTTTCATTCTTTGCTTATTATGGGTAAAAAGGGCTCTGCTTATTATGGGCTCTGCGATGGGCACTCTAGTAAGGTCACATCACTTTTATAAAAAGAATGCTTTAAAGCAAGCAGCTTTAAGAATCAGCTCTAGAATAGAATCTGTGTAACTCATTATTTTAACTCATTGCAAAAGCTGAGTAATTGATCACAGCCTACCAGTTAATTGCAGAATGAATCAACTATTTGTCGATTAACAAAATTATCGTTTGTTGCATCCCTGTTGACTGTGTTTTGAAAATATTAGCCAGCTTAATTTCAGAATACATTTCCAGTTAATCTGATATATGGAGAAGAAAATGCCAACAACATTTTCTCATGCTTCCACCATGTTCCTTTTTTAAAGCCCTCTGTAGAATTGAGCCTGTTCTCATTTGAATTTTAGTGGCTGTATGAGGAGTTGACGTGCCCCAGGGTCATATTGATGATTACATATGCATGAATTCAGAAGAAATTACCCTTTCCTCTGCAGGGTGGAATTGTCAGCCGGCGTGATGGCCGCTCTGAGAAGTGTACTACTTTATATTTAATTTGGATTTTTCTATCGAGGACATTTTTAGTCTGTCTGAATGCTTTCCAGCATATTGCCACTACAGTCTTGCTGATGCTGTTTGTTTGTTTGTCAAAGAAACAGTGTGAATAATTGAACTTGTAATGATTTGGACCTGTGTAATGTTCATTTACATTTCATGATGGCTTGTCCTTTTGACCTCCAATTTTGTCTTGGGTCTCTGGCCAATACAAAAGGATGCTTGCTATCTCAGTGCTGTTTTTGTGTTGCCTGCAGGAGGTTTGGTGAAAATTATAATGAAGAGTCTGTATGCATTGACAGCCCATTCAAACGTGACTTATGTCCATGAGGACAGCTTTGGATTGGCCCGTGTATTTCAGACTCTGAAAGAACCCTGAACTTTGCAATCTGATTCACATCAGACTCCAGACTGCGACCAAATGGTTGCATTTTGCGGCCATTTTTTCTGCCTGTGTGACTAAATGTTGTGAGCGGTCGCACTGGCGCGACCACCGCGTTGTTTAAAGGGGTCATATGATGCGATTTCAAGTTTTCCTTTCTCTTTGGAGTGTTACAAGCTCTTGGTGCATAAAGAAGATCTGTAAAGTTGCAAAGACTAAAGTCTCAAATCCAGAGATATTCTTTATAAAAGTTAAAGGGATAGTTAACCCAAAAATGAAAATTTGATGTTTATCTGCTTACCCCCAGGGCATCCAAGATGTAGGTGACTTTGTTTCTTCAGTAGAACACATTTGATGATTTTTAAGTCCAACCGTTGGAGTCCATCAGTCTTATAATGCATGGCAATGGTAACAAAGTCTATGAGTGTAAAAAAAACATGCACAGACAAATCCAAATTAAACCCTGTGGCTCCTGACGACACATTGATGTCCTAACACACGAAACGATCGGTTTGTGCCAGAAACCGAATAGTGTTTATATAATTTTTTACCTCTAATTCACCACTATGTCCAACTGCTTTGAGCACGCACACGACTTCCGGTGCGTGAGGTGTGTACGCGCTCTGGCGTAGTTTACG